TCCAGAGCTGAAAAATTCTAACTATACACAAGTTGCATAGAGCTTCTCAATATAAATGTCCTTAAAGAAGAGCCTCCACATTAAATTTAGGCATATTCTGGTACACCTTTGTCTCTTTTGAACTACGAAGCAATCAAAACGATAGTTATAAAGGTACCTTGGACACAATACAATTCTCCACAGAGGTTCAGATTAACATAGATGCTCCTAGAATGAAAATTCACACAACACAGAATTTTCCCTTAGTCCCTTCCATGTCAGAGAGTTTTCATGGATTACAGAAAACACAGACCAACATTTCATCGAAGGCTTCTTTTCATCCCTATATAGCACTGTCTGCTGGGGCACGTTTCTGCCAGAAAGTAGTCAGATGAAGTAAAGGTACCAGTTTCACAGCATTTCTGACAGCATGGCAAGAAGCAGCTTAGAAAACTTGCTTTTTGAAGAGGTGATCTCTCCACCCACAAAACTGCTTCTCCTTTTAAAGCAGCACAAAGTGACAGAAGCTGTACCTTGGGCTCTGAACAGCTCTGCTAGATAGTCTAATTTCTTTATGGAGGTTTCATTTATCATTGTTTCTACTTCTTCTGGATATAATGAACTTCTGAGTAACTCAGTCTGAAGGATGTACTGGTCAACTACAGGAAAAAAGGTTAAGCAAAGGGTTTCTATAACAGGAAGTGATCTGCTGGTCTGACCATGAATTTATCTATCTGGGAAGTATCCTGACTGATCATGTTTATACAGCTAAAAACATGACACGTATCTGGAGAGCTACTATAGCCGCTGCAGGCTTATGAAGTCAGTGTGGAGGCAGGAAGGAATCAAATTCCCTATCATGTTTGAAGACTACTGGACAGTGATACCAACAATCCCGATTTCTAAATATGAAACAATGTTCTATATACAAGACAGCGTCAAAGGGTACATCCAGAGTAATAGAGGTGATGCCCGAGATTCATGTGTCTTGCTCTGAATTAACTGAAGTAATTAAATAAGAAATGCTGGTATTTTGCAGCACAAACTGCTACAGTGCTGATGTGTTATGTGTGAAAACTCAGTTGAATTGGGCCGGAGTCAGTACAGAAAGATTGTCTCCGTGTACTTAAGGACAGACAAAAATGCTGTAAGTATCAGTGAGACCCTGGTGTGATTCCAGGTGCTCTATTCAGAAGACCTCAAGAAAATTTATTACTATATTCTGAAAACTTGGAAGGAAACACTGTAATGATGGATTTCATTTGTATTGGAATACTGATACCCTTGTTTGATGAAAAGACATGAATTTAAAAGTGTGCTGTGAGCCTTTTATTGCCATGACCTTCCCAGAAAGAGGATCAGCCCAGGCTTGGGAAGTCTCAGTATAGAAGCTTTTTGGTCTGGAAGGCTCGATAATCCCCTGCCGTGTTTTTTTTCCACCTTGCTGGGCTTCTTTTTCCTAAGAAAGGAAAACTACCAAGGAAACACAGGCACAGATAAGGTACAATGGAGTTTCACTCACTGGAAAAAGAGAGGGAATTCTTTCTTTTCAAAGCCTCAGCAACTACTTTATCAGTGCACTTTTAGAAAGTCTGAAAGGTATCACTTGTCAGCCTGCAATTTCAACTTCTTCCATTGATTTGATTTCTTTTGGCTGCCAGGTGATGAGAGGCAATGACAGTTTCAGACAACAGCCACTGTTCTTTGAGATGAGAATGCTCAGTGCAAGTTCTGAATTGAAGATTCTAATCTCAAAGCTAAAGATTCAGCAAAAATTCTGTCTCAGATGGTATGGTTGTTTCCTTTCACAAAGAAATCACATCAGACATAACATTCAGTAGAGTAATGAAAAGACTTCATTACTTCTTTATATGCAAGCATATATTAATTAGAAATTCCCACTGAACTATAATCATAAATAACAATCAGCTGAGAAATTATACACAGCTGCTCTTCAGCTTTGATTCTTTTCTCTTTCCTGTTTTTTAAAGGTGAAGGTAGATGTCCCTGGCACCGATTTGTGTGTCATTCTACAAAGCTTTCTTTACAGTTTGAATTAACTCTCTAGAGATTTGGAACCCTAAAGGAAAAAATGCATATGGGAGACTCCCAAAAGACTTCTGCTTTTTTTTGGGAAAGAAGAAGATTTGTGCTTCTTTCTTGGATGTGAACTATAGCTTTCACAAGTCCTCTCAGGAAAGGCAGAAGTGGCTCCAGCATGTTACCAGGGAGACCGAAAACCTAATTTGCACATGTGTCAGCCTGCTGCACTACGGAAATTAGTAGCGATTTAATGATCTCTGTGGGACTCTTGTTGAATGGAAACAAAGAGCAGATATTTCAAAACCGTTTCATACAATGATCCAATGCAGAATCCAGGATAAGTGAAGACTAAGCACCAAAAGAAGAGAGAAATGAAATCACTAAACCCAATTTGTATAAAAGAGGCAGCAGAAGCAAGGTCCTCTCACATCTTGTGATAAAGAAGAAATGATTTGTGGCTCTCAGCCATCTGCATATGAAGCTTTCCTACATGCTGACCAGGAGCCATTACTTGCTACAGTTGATAGGAGGGGAAGATTAGGTCTTTGTGCTATGCTCCAAAATCCACAGTTCAAGTGAAATTTTCCAGGTTGCTCTACAAGTTATGAGAGTGCCCGTAGGTCTGAGAGCAGCAGGACCCTGAAAAGCTGCTGCCTGGCTCCACTGAGCTGGTTCATGCTTAGTGAAGGAGTTTCTGTGCAATCCACACAGTTAGACTTTGCTAACAATTTAATGAGAAACTATTCCTGGCATTTCTGCAGGAAGAGAACTCATCTTCCAGACTCTTACAATAAACTATTTATTATTATTATTACTACTACTAATTTCTATAATTTTGAGGAGAAATACCTCAAAGGCATTGAGAAACTGAGAGAAACAACTTCCTTCAGAGCTCTCCTAAGCTGAGGCTCAAAGCACAGATTTGGCTTGCATCCACTGGTGCCAGAGATAAGAAGCATCCCTTGTGCATTGACTGTCTGTCAGGCTTATGACTTTTAGTCTTATTATAACTTATTATGACTTTTAGTAAGACACTCATAGGTGTAACAGCATTTAGTGCAAGGGATGGTAGGCAACTGGCAAATCAAATCTGTAAAAATAATGGCATTAACTAAGCAAGGTCCCAGATTAATCCAAACAGTGATACTGACAAATACCGTTGATCATTCATCAATCTCTGTTTCATATTTCAGGCCATATATTTTCTCATTTCTTAACACTAGACATTAACTGATACTTGCTGAAATGAACAAATTAACATTGTACACTTTTGAGGGGAAAAAAACAAACATCACCTACTTGTGAAAAGAGGTTAACCTCTTCAATGTGGAGAGCACATTGTATATGTCATCATCATCAGCTTCTTCTCCCTGAAAATGAAAGGAAATCCATTAAGGGAGTTCAGCAATCCAGCAGAATACGTAACTGCACGGAGAGGAGCAGATTTCTTTCAGGGTTCATATTGACACCAAAACCAACTCCAAATTTTCCAATGACTTTTATCTAGATTCCATAATAATAATAATTAAATAACCATTGCATAGCACTAGGAAATAAGCACGATCAGCTGACAATATTCAGCAGTATCACTGTATTAATACTCAAACCAGTATCCTCTAGCAGTAGAAATCATTCCCAAGAATAAAATCTGAGTTCTACCTTATATTACAAGGACTGAACCACCAGCTTTAACCATCAGCTGATGAATGTGCTACAAGAATAAAGCCAAATGCTTGCCTTGCTCCACGCCAGAAACCTGCAGATGTCAACAGCAAGTTTTTTAAAATGGTCAGTGAGAAAATTTCTTTCTTTTCATATCCTTCATTGCTGTTCGCTGTGTTACACACCGTAATGCATGACAATCACATTATGTGCACAGACTGACATACATTCAGAACTGGATGGAAGGTGTTTTTTTTTCTTAATTTAGATTTTACAAATCTGAGGAAACAACAGTCCAAGAATAAATATTGCAGAATTCAATCAAAACTTTACATTTAAATTTAATTTTTTTCTTGCTAGCATTTTAAAATACCATTATCTTAATACTTTATGCAAACTGAATAGCAAATTCTCTTAGTGAAACAAGTGGAAGTAAGGTACTTCCGAAACCTAATTTTTCCAGCAACTTTCTGAAACAGGAAACCCACTTACAACAATTCTCCATTTCATTTTGATAATTTTTTTCCATCTAAAAGCTTAACAATTTTCCTGCCTTCAGATGCAATTGTCAATCAATGTTTCTGTTTTTATCAACCTAGTGGGAAGCCATGAAGCAGTAAGATACTTTCTTGGGTACAAGTATGCACATTTTAAAATTTAAAATCTCTTTAAAATTATGAAATAGACTTATTAAAATTAATTATTCTACCAAGTATCACCCAGCAAAGAATATCACAAAGGCCAACATTTTAAATCCTTGCGACCGCTGTTGCCATTCTTGCTTTCTCCTACTTTTGTCTTGGTTTTGTCTCCACATCTTTCTCTATGTCACACGTCTGACCTCCGCACTCCCTTTTCCTTAGGGATCTAAAACTCTTAATTCTTCAGTTCTCATATGACTATTAGACACAGTTTTTCTCCAAAATCCTCAGTCCTCATCTCTCTCTCATGCAAGCAAGTATACACAAGGATCTTAAGCCCTGGCTTGCACTTCTTTACTCCTTCCCAACTGGGCCAAGGAAGGGGATACAGCAGAAGTATTTTGTTATCACTGGTTCATGTTCCTTCATGAGCCTAGTCTTTGTTCTCTGCCCAGTAGTCTCAGTGCACCCTTCAGGCCTTTTCGCGCTGGAGTACTGCATAAAGAGAAACTGCTTGCAAAGAGAAGTGAAGGGAAATGGAGTGGGAATAAGCAGTTACTGGCTTCCTGATCCAACAAGTTAGTAATAAAAGAAAACTGCAGGAAAAATGTTTTTCTCCCCTAGTTCATTTCTCCTGAGAAGACTGGTGGGAGGTCATTTATGAATCCCAGCATCTCATTGCTCTCACCTTACTCTCCTTGCAAAAAAGGTGAGGCCGGAGGGATCTTTCAAGCAGTGTCAGAAAGGGAGAGGACAGGACTGCAGGCCTGTACAGTGTACCAAAAATACGGAGTGTGTTTTCTGAACCCTCTCAACATTCATGTATCCCTAGTCTAAAACAGCTGGACCTAAATGCTTTGCTGGCATCTGAAATGTGGGCTGGGGGTGGAAGAGAGGTAGATTTCCAATCTACTTTCATCTTTACTGCTTGTAGTATTGGAACATGGTTCTTTGAGCGCCAGAGACCACACTGCCTGTGGAAGAGGACTACCAAAGAAGGGCTTCTAAAAATATACAGCTAGGGACCACAAAGTAGCAAAGGGAAGGACAGAACTGCTTCTCCTTGGATCAGAGGATCCAAGAACAAGAGGAGTGATGCTATAGTAAACCAAACTCAACACTAACTGGACTGCTAGCTTCCAGAAGGGTATGTGGATGACAGAAAAGGAGCTCACAGAACCAGAGAAATGGTTCTTGTCTCGACTCTTTCAAAGCTGCTGTGTGGAGGAGAATGGGTAAATCCCAGAAAGAGCAGCTGCTGTACAGCAGGAGGAATCTAAGTGTTCCTGTATTTGCTAACTGAGTTTGGGATTACAGTTGAAAAAATTATTTGTGGGTGTCTCAGCAATACTAATAAAACACAGAGTGGATCTTTCCTTGGGTGAAACTATCCAGGCAACAGAATGCCACCTCTGAATCCCTGAATGGATCCACGGGTGAATAATGTCTACACAGCTGAACATCATGGAAACTTCAAGGGGGCTCTTCCAAAAAAGCCACGTGTCCTCAGACAGACCTGATTTCTGTTTGTTACACTGGCTGTTACACGACTGTCTCCAGAGAGAAGGAACATGGCATTTGCTTCAAAGTTCCAAGATAAAACTATGAGAAAAAGCTGAAAGGAGACATTTTCATAATGTCTTATGACAAGACAGTATAATAGAAATGGCGAGTCAGTGTCAGCTTATTTTCTTTAATATGCAATTCTAAAATAGAGACTGTAGCTTAACTTTCTATTAATGTATATCAAAAATTCAATGTATCTGCCACAGTGCAGTGCATGACTAAAAGTAGTAAAGAAAAAAAATTATGCAGCCCTTAAGTTATGTTTAAAAAGCATGAGAATTACAACAAGTTAAGTAGTGCTACGTGAAGTTAAATTGATGGAAAGCAAGAAAAGTGAGTAAGGTTTCTATTCTTATTTAATGTATTCTGTCTTATGCATTTAGAAGGATGAATTCTTACAAGTAAATCCCAGGTACCTCCACATTTCAGACTTGCATCTTTATTTCATTCTTTCCAGAGCTCTTTCAATATGCCATTATACATATTTTACTAATCCTCTCTTCCATTCAAGACATAATCCAATCTTGATTCTGCTGCCTGCATATCCATTTGGGACTACTGGAATCACCACAAGCATTATGTAAATGCACCTTTCTATGCATTTTTCATCAGCTTTCACCCATTCATCCATTTAATTTCTTATGTGGACTGTTTAAACACTAGACTAAATTTTCAGAAGCAGGATTGTCCCGTGGTCTTTGCTTTACAGCATCAATGCTTTGCAGGCTTAATGGTTAGTCCAAGGGATTTTCTACGTGGAGGAAGAGCTCCAAATAATTATGAAATAGTTCCTGCTGCACTACGTCTTCATATGGATAATTTCATGACTTGGCAAGAATGTTTTTCTGCAGGTTATCTTAGCGTGTTTCAGGTAGTCTAGCTAAATTCATTTTAAGAAATCAGAAAACAAACCTCCTGCAGCAGATCCTCTACAGAATGGTTGAATCGATCCACAAATTCATCAATAAGTTGGCTGTGGGCTATGTCAACTCTGTTCTGGATTGTATATTCTTCACTACAGAGTATGCTGTAGGTTTTGCTGCAGGCTTCGAGAACATCTGATTCCACATGCTTTTCCACAACAAACTTAATCTGTTTCAGTAAGGCATCCAGATGCTGTAGATCAGAAAAGAAGTTCAGCTTTCACCTTACCTGAACAATGAAACTCAAAGAAAAAGTCATTCAAGGAATACACCAAATCAAGGTTAGATTACTAATATGCCAAATAAAGGCACAGTACTGTGTGACTAGAATAGTATATTAGATACTGGAAAGCAACCAGACTTCTTGCCCAATGTACTATACCTTTTCCATTCTGCCTGTGCTATAGATTTCCAGATCAAAATACTGAGGGATTTGCAGGAGATTTGCAACCTTCTCGGCATCAGCGGAATACTAGAACATTATTGAAACAAAACAAAAAAAATAATGAAGTAAAACTAAACACCTGTACTACAGAATGAAAGTTTAAAGACAGTTGTAAACACCAGTGAGAGATTTATTTTGTTAAAAAATGTACCTTTGATAGCAACATAGGAAGTGCGATAATGAAATGCTCAGTCAGTTTATTTCTGTCATCTATCTGAGTTTTTCTTTCTTTTGCTGTCAAGACCTGCAAGTGATCAAAAACAACTGCAGTAAATACAATTTATGCATAACATTTATTACTTTTTCTAACATTTGTATTACAAACAAAAATCCGTGCAAGTGTATTTTCAATAAATGAAAAGAGAGAATAAAATACTCAAACACATTTGGACCAAAGGGTGATTAAATGGGAGGACCATGTGTCCTAAGAAGCCATGATTGAAAAGGAAAATATGTCATCCAGCATGATATTGTTTCGACAAATCAACTTTTTTTTAGGATTGAAATTCAAATATAACCCAAGTCAGTGGAAGTTTTGCTATTGCTTCCAGGAAAATTGAGCTCTGGCTTTTCACATATTAAACAAAGTGTTAATGTAAGACCTCAGGGCGAATGGAAGTATAATTAAGAAAACCAAAACCAAACCACAACGTAACAGTGATTTGCATGAGCAGATTCATGGCCTCATCTCTAAACTGGAATGTAATTCTCAGTGAGAACATACAACCAAGTTCACAGAACTCATTTACAAATTTCAGTGACAGATATACTGAAGCTACTAATGCTGTCATAGCAAAACCACCTTGAAATAGTGAATAGACGACAATCAAAACAGCATGCTTCATAAAAGCTTAGATCTGGCTTCTTGGCTTCAGAAAAGGAGAGAATATTTTCGAAAAAAAATTATGGTAATAAAATACTCAAGTTAGCTAATGATTTATGTATAGCAAGGCTGCCAGACTGCACAATAAGGGTTACAAGCTAAAGTCAGAGAAGAAACTTTCACAAGACGGTGACTGCGAAATTAGAATTCTGCTCCCATTTCAACTCAGAGAATATGCTAGCGAGATCATGAGAACATGACAAACCTCTACTGACAAGTCAGAGATCCCTGCAGTTGCCATCCCACAACTCATGATCTAACTGAAAAGAAGCAAAAGCTAAATGTCATACCTACATCTCTCTGTAAGTGAGGAGGAACAGCTGGAGACAAAACATGTTTGGATGACAGGTTGCCTATTGTGTCAGCAGGCA